GAGAGAAGAGCACTCACGGGAATAGTAGCAGTGATGAGATTAGAGTCTGTAAAGAGACCAGTGGACTAAAAGCTGCTGCTGTTGTACTGACTAAACCTCTAAACCTCCCCAACTCCTCTGGAACTGTTGTTGACTTCTTCTACTGCATTTAAGATTCTACAAGTAAAATCATCTGAATGTGTTTATACCAGGGCTGTTGATCCAAATCTTGGTCCAGTTTTTAAGAACCGGACCGATGTGAAGAGCTCCAGTGACTGATGATGAACAGTACAAAGTTAAGTCATAAATCAGGAAAAGTGCCAGAGTAAGCACCTAGCGTAGCACCTTCGGGTTTTTAGTTTTTAACATAAATCCAATCCTGTACCACCTTCATGTACTTTTCTGCCACTCATGAATGTATTTAGAACTATTCTGGGAAAAATAAAGCTCATAAAATTTTCTTTTAGAGATAATGCTCTCAGACAAGAGGAACAGAACCTGGATAAGATTCTGGGACGTAGGTGTTGAGACATGAAAAAGATATAACAGTGGAGCAGAAGTGAGATGGATGACTTTTAGAGCTTGAAGGTGAAGGAGAGAGGCCAGGTTGTGAAAAGATCCTGAAATGAAGTGAGAAGTTCCAGGATCATAGTTAAGGTTGAATGGGTTGTCATATCCTGAATGTTATCAAACTGGTGACACTTCACTGACGCTGTGATAAAAAAAGAAAAGTTCCCGGTCATGTCTTTCTTTGGAAGCAGCAGTGATAATGAAAATGTCTGTGACCCAGTTTCACTCTGAGGGAAAAGAGTTTCCAGTAGGCAGCCAAAGGCCTGGTCTCTGATCCAATTACTCTCTGAAATATTGATGATCATATGTTCCCGACCCTTTCTGAAGAACAATTGAGAGTATAAAGTACCAAGAGCTGATCGGACCTTCCAGGAAAACGCACATAAAGAATCTAGTCAATATCTAGGTAATAACGTTTTCTTACAGTGTTTTTAGAACATGGTCGTGTGCTGTACTTGTGTGTGCGCCCCCTTGTGTCTTGACCTCAAGTGAGGCAGAAAGACCAGCGCTCAGTTAAAAGGGGTTTGACTTGAAAATGTACAGAAATGTGAACTTTGCCACGTTCTGTCCTTGAGCAGGAACTTTACACTTGACAGTAATGACCTAAAATCACTGATTTTCTGAGTGTGTGTTCCACAGACAGGGTCCTGTCAGTAATGGTTGACTAACATTGATAAAGGAGAACCAACACTCTAAGAACTCAGCGCCAAGTCAGGTGCATGGAAACTACGAACTGCTTCTTTAAATGTTGCGTCTAAATGTGTCCCAGTCCAAGCAGCACTTCCTCAGTGGCTGGAGACATTTCCAGCTTTTTTTTTTTCTTCTTCCCCTTTTATTTGTTTGTGATGTTTTCCTGGAACTGGAACAAGTGGCCTCTATTCCCAGGACCAGGACCAGAATGGTTCTCAGTACTTCCACAGCTCAGTGTCCGATAGCTGTGAATGAAGCTGTGGACCCCAGCCAACAGCCGAGGACGGACACAGCGTCCAGAGACATTCTGATGACCGTCCACTGTTGTCCCGCTCTCAGCTCCACTCCACACCTCAGTGTTTGAAAACCATTGGCCCTGGTCCAGAGCCCGTCTGAGGACTGACGGTGGAGGGTCAGGGCTGGGTTTTAATGAGGTTGGTTCCCAGGGTGAGGAGCTGCACCTCCTCAGGCTGCAGCTTTTATTAAACAAGGAAAAAAGGCGTGAGGATTTCACTGAAATACAGTTTTATATAGTTTAGCAACAACATCTAATTATCCATTTGTCCTGTTTTGGCATTAGTCAGATTGGACACTGACCGGTGTTAGAGACAGAGTTCACATTTATAGAGTAGTAGCGTTTAGCATGTAGCCTAGACAGGCTTTCCTTTTATTATTATCACCGTCACTATTATTATTACAAAAACCATATATTTATAATTAGCCAAAAAATATTGTTTAAGCTGTTAATGGTTCAATATAATTTAATTTAAAACAAATACCATGAGAATAGAAAACAATTAATGTGTGAGAACAAATACCATGAGAATAGAAAACTATGTGTGAAAACAAATACCATGAGAATAGAAAACTATTAATGTGTGAAACAGCTTTTTATTTCGGTGTCAGCTAAACTAGTTTCTGGGCAGTATTTTTAAACTCTCTTACACGTGTTCTGTCAGTTGCACAGCTTCATTAGGAGATGAGCGATCATCGTCATCGTCATCTTCATCCTGCATGTGTGTGTGAGAGGAGTGGGGATTCCTCTGGGACACACTGAAGTCTGTCCTGCTTGGCTTTGACGTCACTGATGCTTCAGTCTGTGCTGGACCAGCTGTGGTTCAAACCTGGCCGTGGTGCTCCAGTCTTCTGCAGTCCTCAGGTGTGTTCATTGACTATCCTGCTTAAGTTTTTTTTGCACATCACAGTACTTCAGTACTTCTGATTCTGACTTAGAGGTTTGGCTGTAACATATCCTTTGGTTCTTTGGACTCTGAACAAACGCAGGTTCCTCATCTGCTGTGTTCTGTCGGATCAGTACACTGATTACGCTGGCGTGCGTATCTTATCAGAACGTCTAAGAGCAGATGTACTGCAGTATCTTTGGATTTGTTTTCATCCAAACCTCAGGAGCAGATTAGCAGATGAACGACATCACAGTCAGAAGAGAGAAATTCAAGTTTGCTTTTTACTTCTGTTTGTTCCTTTTTGTGCTGACGGTGCAAACACCTGCATCAACTCCATGTTGAATGACAACACTACACAGTGAGTGATATAGTCGTACAACAGTATGTTCTCATTATGAACAGTGCAGTGGATTATCATGAACAAGTAAAAACATGTGATCTGTTCGGCGGCTCTGATTGGCCGCAGGTGATGTCACACTTTAACTGTGTCTGGTTGAGGAAGTTCAAATGTGATAGGGAGGAGATAGAGACAAGGACTCAGTGACCCACATGACAGAGCTGTGACAACACAACAGGAACAGGAAACGGACTCCGATTGAACTTTGACCCATGAGACCTTCAGACTGTACAAACTCACAACATGTGACTTGAAACACTTTTACAAGTCAAGATCACAAGGTACATGTGATCACCTTTAAATCCACGGTCTGTAGTTTTAACTCTGAAGTTTAAAACCTTTCAGAGGTTTAGTTGACGTTCCAACAGTCTATTTAGAGCTGTTGTCTTCAAGGACCAAAAACCGTGAACCGAACTGAGCAGGGACCCCCTACAGTAGACCAGACCAGTCTCCCGAGAGTCTCCAACCCTTTTGACCAAGTTCCATCAGGAACCCTTTGAAACAAGAATGAGTTCAGAACGACTTCTCTGTCCTCTGCTCTCTGCTGACTCCAGAAGACTTCAGGT